TTCTGATGTATGCCAATCGGCTAGGCTGATTTTGATAATTTGCTGAATTTAGGCTGAATTTAGGCTGATTTTAGGCCAATTTTCACATGTCCAATTTTTTTGATTTCGACCAGTTTTTATAATATTATTTTGATTGAAAGAAGTATCAAAAAACTATCAATCGAAAAATTAACATAAAAAATACAAAGTTACTCTGTTTTAATAAACAGTAATATAAGAACTTTTCAATAGTTAATATGCATCTAGCTTTTTATATAAAATTATAAGTATGATTGAAAATAAAATCATAAAATAGGATGAGAATATTAGAAATAATAGATGAGAATTTGATAAAAAAGATTAAGATGTCAAGAAGAATAGAAGGAATTATATTTTTTAATAATATTAATAAAGGAAAAATTATAAGATCCACCTTTATAGTTTAAATATAATTGATATTTTAGATTCAAAAAGTTGATTTTAAGATATTTATAAAAAGTTGTTATTTAGCATAGCTATAGAATTTAGTATAATTATTAAAATATTGACCTTATAGCAACATAAAGCTAAAGGTGATTAAAATTCTTATTTGATTAAGATAATAATATCACTTTTAAGAATCTATATAAACAGATAGTTGTTTGGTTTTTATAAATTACATGGTAGATAATTATTCTAAAGAAATTATGTTTTTAATTGTGAGTTTTGGATTTTGAATAAGATAATGTTTAATAAATCAGTTTGTATAAATTTAAAGATCAATAGTCAGTTAATTTGTAATTATCAATATATTGTATTTCATTTGAATTAAAAGTAATCTGTAAAATATTTTGTGTTTATAAAATCTTTTAGGAAAGTCCTAAAAGAGTGGTATATAAGTATATAGTTAAAGGTAAAAATATATCTAACAAAAGAAATATGATCAAGAGATAGCTATAGAGAAGGTAAGAAAAGAGAAGATTTTTTTAATTAGTTAGCTTTGTTATTATATAGATTATTTGAAGCACTAAGTTTGTTATTGCTTTACTAGTATCAACAAATAATAGTTTTAAAAAACTATATTATTTTCTTTAGTTGCAAAAAAATCACTTAAAAAAAGAAGTAGTCTTGATAAAAGTAAGAGAAATTTAATGTTTATTAATAATTTTACAAATTATAGAATAAAAAATATAAAGAGATTTTAAATATAAGAGAAGAATAATTAAATGTGTTAGTTCTAATTATATGATTATAGATATAAATAAAAGTTAAGCTATTAGTATTAATAATAATATTTGAAGTAGAAGAATAAATTAAAAAAATAAATAATAATGCAAAAATTTCAGTTTAGTAAAATTAGCCTAATTAGCAAGAATAGTAGTTAAGAAATTTATATTTAAAAACTATAAATTAGAATTTAAATATAAGAATACTGGAAAAGAAATAAGTTTACAAAAACTATCTGTATAAAATATTAAAACTTTTTTAGCTTAAAATAAAAGATAAAAATCAATTAAAGAAGAATTAATACTATTATTCTTAAATAAAATAGTAATAGTAATATAAGATGCAATATTAAGAACTAGATCATTTGATGGATTATCAAAAGAACATATTATTATATAATATTATCTAGTTTGATCAATAATAATTTTAATTATTTTTTAAGAAGATATTATTTTTTATTATCAGTTATAATAAGATAAATAACCTTTATGATATAGGATAATTCATCATCAATAATATTATCACAAGATCATATAACAATAGCTATATTAAAGTATTAGATAGGCTCTGATAAATTAAAGGAGAAACTAGAATATAAAGTAAATATATTTTATATTTTAGATATGAATCTTATATCAGTGCTAAAAGTTGAATTATTGATAAAATGTTATATAATAACTTTAAGTGAAATGAATTTGAATTTTACTGCTTTACTAATAATACCTTAATCAGGATAAAGTAGATTCCAAATGTTTTGATACAATGGATTTAAAGAATAATTCAAAAATGCAAATACCTATTTTTGAAAAAAAAAGTGTGAAATATTTTTTGAAATAAAATCAAAAACTTAGTATTAAATTTTTAGATGATTAGAGTATACTAGATTTTTCAAAACAGTATTTTACAGAAATGTGAATCAATAGAGAATAACTCCAGTAAAGCTTTTTGATAATTTATTTTTGAATAATGAAATATTTTAAGAATAGGATTTTATTATACTAAAAAAAAGAAATCCATTGTTTTTTCTATAGAATCAGAGTTTGAAGAGCAGTAAAATTATCTTGAATGTAAAACTTGTTATAGCTAAAGCTGTAATATGCATAGAAAAGAGATTTTGAAGATACATTATCAATATATTACATAAATAATTATTATATTTCACATGTTAAAGTTGTGTAGATTAACAGATAATAGAATTATCATATGGGGTCTTTGCAATAGAAAGGAAGGAAACTCAAAAAAAAATAAAAAATGAGTTAATAATAAATCTGAACAAATTATAGTATTTGAAACATTTTTGGCTTATAAACTAAAATTTTAATTTTTTTGGAGTTTCCTCACTTTCTATTGCAAAGGCCCCATATAGCCAAAAATGTTATTGAAGAGCAAATTGTTGTAATTTTGAGTGAATTATATTAAAGAATAATAGGCAGACTAAGATCCAGAAATATATATATAGAGATAAGATTAAATGATGCTTAACTATTATAAAGATATTAGATAAGGTAAGGTTTTGATTTATGTATTTTTAAAACTTTTTTAGTTATAGTCAAGTTATCAGTTCAGTTTGTGTATTTTTATATAAATTTTAATATAAGTGGTTAGATTTGCATATTTTAATCTAAATTTGGTAGTCATATATATATAAATAATTATGAGATGATAATTAATTATAGGATGGTAAATAATTACAGGGTAGTAATTAATTAACAAATTTTAGATTGTATATGAAATAATATGAAAATTTTTAATTTGATGATTAATTACAGTTGCATAATTAATTATAGTTACATAATTAATATCATGAAAATCAATTTTTTTTTTTTTTTTAACAAAAAAAACACTTTTATTTTATTTAACATAAACTTTAAAAAAATAACCTTATTTTTAAACTTAAATACTTGAAGTGATAAGAACTCTTATTAAATGTAATTTTTTTTTTACTTTTATAGATTTAATTTTTATATATATTTAATATCTTTTTTTTATAAACATTAATATAGAGATTTCATGAAGAAAATTGAGAATTTTGGTCAAAGTCAATTGCATTTTATTTCTAAGTAAAAGTTATTTGTATATAAATTTCATTAAGATTAGTTTAATATTCATATAGTTATATGTATTTTGTAACTTTATTAATATCGCAACACTTTTTTTAATTTCATAGGATAATTTGAGCACTTTGGTCAAATCAATTGCCTTTTATCTCTAAGTGAAAGTTGTTCAGTAGGTTCATTACTATTTACATCTAAATACCCTAATTTATCCAACTCTTGTCCCATCTGTACAACACTTTCACTGTCTAGTTGCCACATTCCAATTAATTGCCAAAACCCTCTTAAATTGTTTGTGCTATTTCATTTTAAAGATTTCCATCAATAATATCAAAAATTACAAATGGAGACAATTCTGAAACTTTATTTTACATTATTTCCATTTCATGATCTACTTCTGCATCAGTTGAATGTGCAATTGAAATGTTATCTTGTTCATCTATGTCCTTATCACTGCTAATATCATTATCTCTAAGTACAAATTGTCTTGCAAAATCAATAGCCTCCTCATTGTTTTCCGAAATCGTTTATGTCAGCCAGCCATTATTGATAAATTCAAACTAGGGACTTAAGATGATTTGAAAAACACAACTTATTGATTCCAAACATAATTAACTATTTAAATTTATATTAGTAGGGATACTTAACGTAACGATTGGTGTGAACTTCGAGAATTTTCGAAAAAATTTATTATTCAAAATAGAAAATTTTCAAAAAAAAAGGTTGAAGAAATGATTTTTTAAAAATTAATATATTAATTTATTTACATAAAAGGCGACCATATTAATAAGATCTTCTTAAACTGGCCGGAGCGTTAAGCTTTTAAAGCTTATAAAAGTATTTCTAATAAGCTAACGACGGGTAATCAAATAAAATAAGTAAAAATTCATATGTAACTACATGCGTCACGTTATGTTCTTTTATGATTTTAAATCGTTGATTAAACCACACCACATTTTTCGTTCTTATGATGATTGATTATGTTTATCAAATTACTTTTCCTTATATATTTTATTTTAAAAAAAAAGATCTCTGGCAAATCATTATACGGTATCTATTTTTAGATTTATTAATTTTTTGTCAATCTTATGGGGTAAATCTCGAGTGAAATTCTAATCTAGACCTAGACCCCATGTGTACGAACAATTATAACCGGATATGATCTAGTAGAATGGGTAAAAATGATGTTAGTAGAATTCATCAGCTTCCCACGCGTGACAAAATTAAAGCAAAAATGACTATTCATGGAAAAGTACATGTTAAGCACGCGTTCCATAAAAGCATAAATCTAATGGCATAATTGTCCGTTAAAAAAGTGAAGTTGTTTGGTAAATCTATTTCCAAGGTTCGGTCGATCCAGAAGGCTTTTTTTTATAAAAGGAACTCGTTAGGTAAAAATACATTTATAAACAATTCGATTTACTTTATACACTCATCGAAAAAAAAAAAACATGAAGACATCGCTTGTAACCTTTCTGATCGTGACTCTTTTTTCTTCTATGGTTGTGGCATGTGGCAAAATTGTGGTCACGGCTCCCATTGAGGATGTACCAATTGGTAGTACGTTGAATGTGACATGGAAAACTTCGCCAATTCCCAAAGGCATAGAAACCGACGGTATGTTTTCCGCAATCGTCGTGTGTCGCTAAAGAACATAAGTCTCACACGAGAAAAATTTTTATTTTCTTTAATAGATAGAATTGGTGTCCGTATCAGATGCGGCAAGAGACAGATTCCGCCAAAAGCTATTGTTAGCGTAAGTATTCCGCTGCTTTATAGCCCTCACCGTATAAGTCGTATGTTAACATTTCATTTCACATATCACAGGAGCCTTTTAAGGTCGGAATAAAGCAGGTCGATCTCCCTGATGACGACGACCTTGTTGGCGTTACATGCATAGCAAACGTCTCCAATGAATCCGATACTTCTATAGGAGATTCGCCCCCTTTCAAGTTAACAAAAGAAGCTCACTAGATCCCGAATATCCTCTGCAATAAAAAATATCTGTTACAATTTATTTTTTTTATTTTATTTAATTTTTATTCTAAATATCATATGAAATTCCCATGTAATGGAAGACGTGCAGTGGGGTAGTAAACTGCACTATAATGATTAATAAAGACAGTGAAGTTCCTACCTTGAATTTGAAATAAGATACTTGCACTGTGAAGTGCGAATCTCACTTTTCTCCTGTTACTTCTTTCTTCGTCAATCAAACTATTTGATCGCTGAACATTAACATAATATTTACTTTAAAAGGAAATTAACAAATCAAAGGAAAAAGCATTAAAATGCTCGAAAAATCAAATAAGTTTATCGAATAAAGGATTTATTTTAAATATATATGTATATATTATATGTTTTTCGACTAAAATTAATCAAAAACTAATAATGCAAAAATATCTCACTGTTAATCATCCCATATAATTAATTATATTCATTCAATTGAACAATAAATACTAAGATCAAATCAAATTTGAACTCCCAAACCTATGACTTAAAACCATGCAACAATGCAATTTCTAAATTTATATGCAATTGAATTTCTAGTACAAAAAAAAATCACATTTTTCAAATAAGGCAACAACAACTTTGGATTGACCATATTAATAACATTTTCATTTTATAAATAATAAAGAAGTATTTAAGTATAAATTAAAATTATTTAACTTTTTAAAAAAGTTTCCACGATAATGCTGCGCCACTAAATAATGGAACGCAGTAGCAGAAATTTTAAACTAACTTTAAATAGAAATTTAAAAAAAAAAATCCCAAAATAGTAAGTAATTAATAAATAAAAATTAAAATAAAAAAAGGGATGATAGTCGAGGGCTGAAATTAAACTACCATTTCTCAAAAAAAAAAAAAAAAAAAAAAAAATTAAAAATGAATTTATCGTAAAACATGGTTTTAAAACAAAATTCAGAAAAAGCCTTGAAAGACTTGGAAAAGAAAATTAAAGGATTAGAATTAAGTAAAAAGAAAGCCGACGATGAAAATCAATTGCTACTCTCCTTTTTAATGAATGAATTAGGTAGTAAGGATTTAGATAATTTAAGAAAATTATTATCAGGACGAAAACTTACTGAGATATTAGGCGAATTAGATGAACGAAAAAACGACGTACAAAACTTAAATTTTGATTTAACAATAAAAAGAGAGGAATTAACAAACGTAATTTCTCAAACTAAATTTTTAGAGGAAAAGATTAAAGGGCGAGAACAAGAAGTTAAAGACAAGCAAGAAACTATTATAGATTTAGAAGAGAAGATTAAAAAACATGCAAAAGTAACCCAAGCCAGGATTAATGATTTAGAAAAAACGATTAATAAACATGAAGAAACCGCAGAAATGCAAGAAAAAAAAATTAAAGCCATGCAAGAAATGATTAATTTTTTAGAAGAAAAGATTATCAAACAGGACAAAGCCAAAGCAAAGATTAATGATTTCGAGGAAGCGATTAGAGAAAAAGTAAAAGAAGTCAAAGCCAAGCAAGAAATTATTACAGATTTAGAAAAAAATATTAGGGAAGAAGCTAAAGTTTATCAACTAACGATTGTTGATTTAGAAAATAATCTCAGGGAATTAACAAAAAAAAACCAAGCTCAAGTTATTTATGATGATTCTATTAAAATATTAACAATTACAGACATTAATAAGGATGACATATTAAACGCCTCAGGAGGATTACAAAGATATCGAAAATTAACAAAACTCAATTGTAACAATTCTCAAATAACTAGTTTACCAACTTTACCAAACTTCTTAACAATACTTTATTGCCATGAAACTCAGTTAACAAGCTTACCAACTTTACCTAACACCTTAACAAAACTCCATTGCCAAAATACTCTAATAAATAGGTTACCAACTTTACCTAATTTTTTAACAGAACTCCGTTGCAACAATACACCCATAAATATTTTACCAACTTTACCTAACTTCTTAACAATACTTTATTGTCATGAAACTCAAATAACTTCCTTACCAACTTTACCTAACTCCTTAACAAAACTTCATTGCGATAATATTCCATTAACTAGTTTACCAATTTTACCCAATTCCTTAACAGAACTTTATTGTAGAAACACTCAAATAACAAGTTTACCAACTCTACCTAACTCCTTGACAATTCTCCGATGCAATAATACGAAAATAACCAGCTTATCAACATTACCCAACTCCTTGACCAAACTCTATTGCGATGAAACTAAAATAAATCGCTTACCAACTTTACCTAACTCTTTAAAAGAACTCAGTTGTCATAATACTATAATAACAAGCTTACCAAGTTTACCAAACTCCTTAACAGAACTTCGTTGCTACAATACTCCAATTATTAGTCTACCAACTTTACCTAATTCTTTAAAAGTACTCTGGTGCTATAATACTCAAATAACTAATTTACCAAATTTACCTGATTCCTCCATAGATATCAACCCTAAATATTTAAAAAATCAATACTACAACTTACAAACTTTACATAAGTAAATAAAGAAATAATTTTAAATCTTAGGGAGCACTTACAAATAATTATAATGAACTTTCCTTGTGTGAAATTTATAAAAAAGACCAACAAGCTATTTCTTGTTGAAATAAAATTTTTTTATGTTTATTGTAATAATCCTATTTGGGTAAAGTCAAGCCTGTCTCATTAATTTAATTGTAAATTATTAAGTTCTGGCACTGTTGAAATTCTGTTTATCCGTAAGTAAAACCGTCCTGATGTGAAAGATTCCATGTTAATGAAGTAACATCCGCTGTAACTTACTACAACGAGATTCTTCTCATATAATTGATTCCTATAACTGCTGCTTCGTAGCAAATAAGTTTTATAACTACAAACGGATTTTAAAGGAAGCTTTATCATGCATTATCTGCAAGAATGACTTATTTAAGTAAGCATTGTAGTAAGGTTGCGAAACCCCGGAGGCATCGAAACGAAACTTGTCATTGAAACCTGTAGAAACCATCGAAAACTGTCTTCGAAACCCGCCGAAACCATCGAAATCGAAGGTTTGTACCGCAACCATATCTTGGCATTTGGGAATTGAGAGGTTGAAGAGAAATGTCATGCATTAGGTATCCATTAGCGCAATGTCCAGTGACCGAATTATTATATACATGGTTAGCGTTTATTGTTGATTCAAATGATTTGCGATCAAGTTTTCGAACTTTTTATGTAACTATATTAAAATCATTTTTAGATCTTATGTTTTACTATGTCTCGTAACTTAATTTATAAAATGGTTAGGTGCTCTGATTTATCTGAAGAAGAAAATAACTTTGATAAATCATTTTAATGTGTCACGATGGGATATTTATTGGAGTTGCGCAAAATAATATGTGTGAAAACCTTTGAACACTAGAAAACTATCATATTATATCAGTTAAACAAATATACACATAATTTTTATTTTTATTCAATAATTTAAAAAGTAAATTTATTCGATATTTATGAATTATTTGCATGAATACATTTTATCATTTCATCCGTAAATTAAATTTAATTAAAATGAGTGAGTTTAAGTCTCATGCGAACTCACGATCTCCACATACTATTACATAATGACAATTTACTTACAAATGAAGGGTTAATATCATTGATTCCTGTTAAGAATGTATCCATAGATAAATTTGGATCATTCATAAACGGACTCAAGAATTGCTTAACTTGAATGAGTGAAGAAATTGTTTGCTCCAATTTTGCATCTGAGCGCTCATCAACGCCATTAATCAAATTTCTCAAATCATCATCCGTTTGATCTTTTAATAATTCAAGGAATTCTTCAGATCGTGACAATTCTTTAATAAAATCCCAAATATTCTCATTAAATTCGGAAAATTTTTGATTTATAGTTTCAACGGACTTACTAAATGTGATCAAATTTCCGTGATTTAACAAGTTGTCAAGCCAATTTTCTTTGAATTTGAAAATCTTGGTAATCTTGGATAAATCTTCTGTACGTTCTTTCCAAATCTTATTTCTGGACAGATGACCTATCGTCACCATGAACAGTATGTTTTTATTGATACTAATCTTGCTATACTTTTCCATTAACTTAATCTCATCATCGAAATTAGAAACATCACACCAAAATGGAATTTCCTCTGAACATTTGAGATTTTCCCATTTTTCATAACGCTTACACCTAGCAGCGTATTCCTTTAAAACATCTTTCATTAACATTTGTGCTATAAATTCAACATTAATATCATTAGATTTTTCTTTAGATACTTCATTAAACCTTTGTTCAAAAACATTATAAAATGTTTGAGATTTGTTTAATTCATATGTACTCTCTGCTATTGATATAATTCCTTTATGAAGGTTCCAATGGACTTCTGTTAAGTATTCTTTTAAGGAGATTTTATTCAGTTGCTTGCTTCGTTCCTTTAATTCATCAAGATAATTTTGCACATCTTTGGTTGGACAAAATCTTTTATAAAAATCGTAAAGGTTTTTCAATCTTTGTTCATAGAAGCAACAATCCTGACGAATCTTAACCAATATGTCCTTGGTTATGACTTCTCCTCTTCCATTATTAAAATTTAAATAATAATGAAGGTTATCATCATCAAGGTCAAGCAAATTCTGAAGATTTTGAATATTGATAGAGGTCTTTTTAATCATTTCAGTTAACCCGAGAACAGTTGTTCTAGTTCCTTGCACAAGTTGGTGCGAAAAAAACCTTCTGGTGATGCCAGTCGCTCGTAGAATCACAATCCAGAATTTAGCGGACTCAAGCAAAGATAATTCTGAATAAGTATTTAAAGAAATTTTTTGCAAACGTGACATGATAAACAATAAAATTGTTTCACAAAGTCTACATAAATAAAATATAAGTTTGATCAAACATGTATAATAAATAGAATTAAAAGATATACTTGATTAATCACTTACTCATTTGGAATCTCTAGACTTTTACCAGTACAACCACAAATCGCTTGCATTTTCTTTAATATAGGTTGAT